CTGTTACAATTGACCCCACTCTACCCTACGTTTAGGGTTTAGAAAAAAGGTCTTTTCTGTTTCTCCTCGTAGTAATTTTCAAATCTGACTTTTTTGAAATCTATTGATGGAAAAAAAATCTGCAGATGCTCTGATAATCTGCAGCTTCCGTATCCGTGCTGGAGGATTTCTGCTACCGGAATCGTAACTATCTTGTGTTTTTAACCCTTTAACGCATTTCGAATATCGGTGTCCTTTTTATATATTTCTTTCTGATACTTTAATCATAAGCAAAAGTATATTTTGGTATTTTTCAAAACTTTATCCATAATTTATTTTGTGAATTAAAGAAATTTGAATGAAGAATAATTGTTTCTCTTAGATCTAAGTAATTGCAAATTTGAAAAATTATTGTTTGGAAATGAGCAGTGTTTGAAAGATTTTACCTTTCACGCCGACACCGGTGTTTCATGCTGTATTTCATATCCATAAATTATTAATATGATAAATATAATATTTTTCACTCACATTGTCCTGGATTGATGCAAAATAATGAAAAGTATGCTTAATAAAAGTTCTGCGTCAAAGGGTTAACTCTATTCTCATTTTCTTTGTTATCTTCTGCTTAGACAATTTTCCAAAAATTTTTAAAATCTACTGAAACAAAATAATAATAATAATTTAATGACCATTAATAGCAGTGATATCATTGCACAAAAATATAGAACATTGATATGACTTAAGAAGAAAGGATAAATAAAATTTAGAAAGAAGGACTTTTTAAAAAAAATTAAATGCTTAGGAATGCACATAGTTGGTACTTTTGCCTGAATATATTTTACTCATGTTTGTCAGTGAAAGTTTTACTTCAACTAAAGGGTATATCATCATTTTAGACAATTTTAATCGAATAGTCGTCGGGGGCTACAACACTAAACGACTTAAGGTAAGGGATAAAACTGTGCAATTATTTTTTGGAGTTCATCCTGGTAAAGAGAGATATCGTGAATTAATGTCCATGTAAGTACAAAAAATTCATTTTTAATTCAAATTTGTTACATTTTAGCGTTAAATACAACTTACTTTTTGCAAAATATAACGTATTTACCAATAAAACTCTTATTTGATTGTACTATTTACTTATATCATCACTATGTCGTAACTTAATTGATATTTATTTTTAATAACCATGTGTTGAATACTCAGGATTATTGGGAGAAACTTTAAGGGACGGTAGGAGACCATCACAAGGATTCAGAATTGCTCAATTAGTTATGCTGAATTTAAATTTGCATCACTTTCATCCTGATCAAATACTGATATCTGATGCTTTTTTAAGCTAGGCTTGTTCCATTTTAAACTTAAATTATAATTTCTACTTAATTCTTTTTTAGTCTTAAACTAATTTTAAACTCTTAGAAATTTCGTCTTCCTTTGAACTGATTTTGGTAAATTTATATTATCGTATAATGAGAGTTTACGCGGGAAAAAAGTTATTTAAATTGTTCATTTGCTTTATTTCTTACTTTATATGAAATTTTATTAGAATATAAAGAAGAAAATTTTGAAAAAGATAATACAAAATTATTTTTAAAAAAATTCTGTATCACTTACCACTATTATTACAATTCTCTTTATAACAAACAAGCTTGTTGCCAGATTGTTTGTGATGGCTAGCCCTGCCCTAACTACTATCAATGATAATTTAAAGAAAAAATCGTCATACACAGAAGGCAAATTTTTAAGATACATGACTGGTGCCCCAAGAGCTATCAGCAACAGACTGCTAAGGAAGAATCTAGACATAGAAGAAATTAAATGCTTCATTGCCAAATTCAACAGCAAATTCTATAGCGACGCTAGAAACTGTACTCCCTCGAATTTCAATCATTTGCTAGACATCAGCTTAATCGACAACATTAAATATAGCCCAGTAACCGTATTCCTCATGTCAGATTGTGTCATATCAAAATATTACAAATGATAGTACCACTGTTTTTTAACTCTTATATACTTTTGACCCTGGGGATCTCCTCCGTTAATTTTCTACTAGTATAAGCTTATTCCATCATGACTTTTGAGCATAGAACAAAACAAACCAGTATAAGACGAATCGGTTGGTGGCACTCTGCGCCAAATACTGAGGTACCCTACATATCCAGCATTGTTTGCGATGATGTTAGAATTCAGTAAAATTTCCAGAATGACCAGAAGTGGGGGGGCAGGAACATTGATTGACATTTACCATACCAATAAGTTAAAATCCTTAAGTAATAAGATCTTCTCCTCAAAGAAAAAATAAAACTGTTTTGATGATCCAGTTAGAATCTACTTAAATTTTTTCTTTCCAGAATGTCGGAAAATCCACACGGTATTCTTCAGATTTTTGATATTGTTCAGATTTTTGATATTGTTTTGATATTCTTCAGATTTTTGATATTGAAAATGTTAGTATCCTTAAGACATTAAAAAAAAATCATTACTATTCGCGTATAATTTGTGACGTTGGTCGCGTTTGCGGCCCTGTGCACTTTTGCGATTTTTTATTCTTTTCCTATCTTACAATGAATTTGTTCGTAAGACTTAGTTTCCAGTAGATCACCAAGGTAAAGCATCACTAACTATGGACGATGAACCAGTGGTGTGTGTATGTGTCAGTGTGGGTGGGAATGAGGGTGTGCTATATCGATCCTCGTTAAATTGTTCCATCGTGAAGTACTCGACTTCACACACAGATATCTGGGCTGTCAAAGCTGGGAGCCATCCTCTCTATTAAGGATCAAAACTGTGATGGCGTGTCCAGATCATCCTGGGGTGTTTGCCAGACCATCGCTATTATCCCATTTTGCAGCTCTAAAGCGATTTAAATAAAGTACTACAACTAATTCTTTTTGTATGCCTACTTTGTTCCTTCATTTTTTTAAACTTCCTGAATTTATTTTTATATTTACCTTAATAGTAAGTAAGTATCCTTCAGTAATAAAATTTTGTCCTCGAAGAGCAACAGCAACAATTTAAAAAATATATATATTTATAGATAATGCTGACAGATATATTTAAATTTTTTTTCTTCCAGAGCAACTAGAAATGCAGACGGTATTCTTCTGGTTTATGATACTGCAAACAATCGTACTTTTGAGAAACTTGGAGAATGGTGTGACACAATGAGGAAATTAGCTCCAGAAGCAATCATATTCATAGGTATTTATTTTATTAATTACTTCTAGTATTTGGGCCGAGATTGCCTGGTTTGTTGGGCTCTTGTTCTTGAGATCATGAGTTCGAATCCCGCGAGCCGAATAATCCCCGTGTATCACCCCGGAGACCCAAAGTCTACCAAGTTCCGATAAAAAATCAATACCTCTAGAGGTACTGAATTGGAGATTGGGCGTTCTCTGGTTAAGGTTAAGATTACGATCTGTGTATGAATGAATTGACTCTCCGTGTGAAACAGGCCTTGACGTGTTCGTGTGACTTAAGTCGTATTCTTGGCCGTAGATGGTGCCACTGAAAAACAAGAAACGCACTCTCTTCCTTGCAAATTCGCTATGATTTCCCATAGCAGGCTTGCTAGTTTTGGCAAGTGGCATAAGTAACAACTTCTAGCATTTTATTTTCACAGATAGCTTAAAAATAAATATTTATATCGGAATATTACTAGCTGTTTTTAATTGAATATTATAGGATTTCTGAAATAAAAATACTAATTTAAATCTTTTGCCGAGTAATGCAAGGGTTGTTTATGACCATAGAGTTAGCGTAATCTTCAGTTCGTATCCCTTAGTCTTGATATAAAGTGCACATGTTTGAAACTTTAAAAATTTCTGCATATCTCCATGGGAAAAAATATGTCTGTATGTGTGCATTGTGGCATTTGGATGATATAAATTAAAATTGACATTGGAAATTTCATTTATAAAAAATATTTGGATGAGAAAATATTTGGTTTGAATATATTAGTGAGGGTGAGACATTCATATGGTAAGACAACTTCTCGTGTCGCAATCTCTCCACTTCTCAGCTGCTTGTGTGCCTTTTCGTTTTTATAAGATGAACTATCTATTATGTTAGAGTATCCACTGATATAATTCAAGAACAGTTGGGTATTTAACGAATTGCGAATTTAACGAATTGAGCATTAACGCAAAAATAATGTTACTTTCCCAGAGAAAAAAAATTCATTTATGAAAATTTTTTCTTAAGATTTCAAGTTTCTTTTAATAAAAATATTTTATAATTGACAGTTGGTGCTCGATCTGACCTTTTTCATAAAAGGGAAGTACTTTTTAAAGAAGGCCAAAATTTTGCCAAAAGTGAAAATCTCGAATTTTTTGAATGCAGTGCCAAAACTGGTGAAAATGTTGAAGAAGTAAGACATTATATATTTAATTCAAGTTTTCATACAAACTTATTTTACGATTCTCACCATCACTACATACATACATCTGATACGATAGTCTCATTTTAAACTAAATTCTTGAGGTGGGTACTTAAGAAACTGAAAAAATGGTAGCAAAACTAAGAGGATTAGACGAATTCCAATACGTTTTATATTCACCAATTTTGGGTTTCGAAACTTTAATATTAAAGTAATTCAAAAAGTTTTTTGAAAAAAGAAAATTTATATTTATAACATTCTAATTAAACAAACGTAACAAATGTGTTACAATTTTCACAATACTTTATTGAACGCTCACACTCGTTTCATCAGAAAACTTCTTTCTTTCTTCAAAAAGAAAACTCCTTTCTCGTCTTGTTTATCACTAATTTTTCTCTCACTTTACTCTCGTTTATATCAATTTGTCATTACCTTCTCTTTTTTTTCCATTTTGACAGACGATTTTGTTTAAAATTTCATTTTTATAAATTAGCTCCAGTCTACGCGTTCGTATAATTTTTCGCAATTTATATTTGATATGATCGAATATAGTTATACACACATGCAGTTTGAATGTTAATATTAATGAAATATATATTTGTAAGTGATTCAAGTTCTTAAACTTACTTGGAAATTTAAATTAAACTTTATACAACTATGCTTGAATGATTATATTTTTCTGTTGGAAGAATGTGCATATAATTGATGAGATACAAATCCAGATGTGACTTATATTCCATTTCAAAAATTCATGAATGTTAGCTATTTTAATATTAGTTTAATATTACAATATGACTTTTTTGAATATTTGAGGAGGATTTATTCTAGAAGTATTTATGTAGTATAATAAATTTATACTAAATTATTTTAGTTAGTATGATAGAGTATATTAGTATATAATGAATTATTACTTTTTGAAGCACCATAAATAGTAGTATACAGTGTGTTACAAAATTATAAGACCCACCTGAAATATCCCTCGTTTTTATGCATAAAATCTGTAATTTTAAAATAGTGAAGCAGCTTCAACAAGTTGTATTTTCTCAAATAAATCAAAAAGTGAAAAAAAATTGAATTAGGTTTACATGGCAAACGATTTTTTAAAATCTGGTCGAAATCTTTTGCGTTTTCAAAATCTTTATTATTTTTTCTTTCAAAATCGTATGAAAACGGTAACTATTAGCATCTGAGAAAACGCAGACGATAATATTATAAAGAAAGTGAGAGTTTTATTTATTTGTTCTCTTAAGAAAATTCAAAATACCACGCAGAAAAGGATTATCTGAACTAGAAGAAATAAATTAGAAAATGATTTTTTTTTAATGCTCCAGAAGATTGGAATGTTAATATTTTTTTTTTTTTTTTTTTTCCAATGGCAGGCACTGAATTTGTATCTTTGCCTATACTATGCCAGAATTGTTGCTCATTTCGCGTTACCTAGTGGGCACCTGTGAACCAAAGTCACGGAGGCGAACAACATTGCCCACGCCACACTGCCACAAACCCGTTTATAGGGTGGGCCACATTCACACATCATACACACACACAACAGAGGACAGCACAAAGAGAGAGAAACATCCATGCCCAGAGCGGGATTCGAACCCGCAGCCTATGGCTTCGCAGTCAGACACGCTAACCGCTCGGCCACCTGGCCGGCAGGGGGGGGGGGAATGTTAATATGTAAGTTAATTAAACGCTCTAAAGCTGCTGTCCATAACGTTTTAAGCAAAAAAGATTGTTATGTAAAATAAAAATACGGTAGGAAGCGTAAATTATCAGCTCGAGATAATAGGTACATTTTCAAACTTGCGACGAAACAGAACTTGTCTGCGCTCAAAATAACTCAGCAGACAAGTAGAAATAGTACAAGTAGTAGTAGATTGTCCATACAACAGTCTGATGCACTTTGAGACCAAATTCAAATGTTAAAAAGAAAACCAAGAATGTTAAAGCATCATAAAGAAGAGAGGCTGAAGTGGACAAATGTGGTCATGACCTGGGATGCTACTGGGGAAAATATTATTCTTTTCGACGAAAAGAAGTTCAATTTGGATGTCCCGGATGGCAATAATTACTTCTCACATGATTTTCGAACAGAACCTCGTGATTTCTTCCGCAGACAGATGGGTGTGGACTCGGGGATGGTGTGGGGAGCTTAAGTGTATCACAGTAAATGCAACCGGCAACGAATTTCTGGAAAAAACGGACTCCAGTTGTTAGCAACAACTGCCTTACCAATCCCTTATACCTTCTGGTCCGCATCTAGATGGGTCAAACTGGAAATTTCGACAAGACACTGCGCCATACCATGTATCCCCATCAACTAAAAATTGGTTTCAGAAAGAAAAAAATTGAAATCCTAAGCCTAGTCTTGATATTAATACTATAGATAACTTGTGGGACTGCGTGGTAGGATAAGTGTACGCAAATAACAGCCGATATGCTTCTTTTTACGACCTTGAAGTAACTATCATGGATGGATGGGACAAAATTCCTGAAACTTAGCTAGAAAACTTAATTGAGTCAATGAAAAATCCGAGTTTTTGAATTTATCCTGAAAAATGGTGGATCAACACGTTTTCAGTTTAGTAAAAACGATCATTTTAACACTGGTGGTCTTATAAATTTGTAACAGATTGTCGTTCACAAAATATTTATGGTTAAATGTGTGTATATATATATATATATATATAGTAATTCATTCATTTTTATTGGAGAATTTATATTACTAATAATAAAAGTTACAAAAACCACACAGATCTTATAATTTTGTTACATTGAATATATATATATTATACAATCGAGACAGTTACAGATAGCTAAAGGTTAAGTAATGTCTTAAATAATGATTTTTGAGCAAAAAGTTTTTGATCAGAATTACTTGTAACGTAACGCAACATTAAAATAGGTTTATAGGTTTTATGTACGATAAGGACAAATACTCTTGGACTGAAATAACAATAACCTAGTCACAAATTTCTGGAAAAGCTATGCAGTACAATTTGTTTGGGTTGTTAGCTTTAAATACACTTTTAAGGAGGTCAAAAAATTCCGTTACATTTGGAATGTTAATGTCGAATGAGAGGAAATAACCCTTAGCTTCACAAATCAAAATAATTACAATGCCTATTATTTCGAACAAGTTAACGTTTCCATTTTACTCGAAATTCTATGAAAAAGTATTTTTTATTTGTCGATTTAAAATTATTCTAGATATATACTCATTGACAAAAAAATTAGCGCACCAAGAAATAATTGCGAAACTGGACTACAGCGGAATGGAACCAAGTCGTCTTTAGCGACGAATCCAGATTCAATCTCAGCAGTGATGACAATCGTGTTCGTGTGTGGCAAATCGTGTGTGTGTGTTCGTGTGTGGGCGTCGCCTCAATCCTGCCTTTGCTGTACAGTGACACACCGCTCCCACAGCTGGTGTGATGGTATGGGGTGCCATTGCTTACAATACACGGTCACCCCTAGTATTGTCCCGTGGCACCATGACAGCCTAGCGGTATGTCCATGAAATCCTGCAACCACATGTGTTGCCACTCATGCAACTCCTCTCAGGAACCATTTTTCAACAATACAAGGCTCGGTCTCATACGGCAAGGGTGTCACAAGACTGTCTCCGTACTGTTACTACCTTTCCTTGCCGTGCCCGATCCCCAGATTTGTCTCCAATCGAGTATATCTGGGATCATTTGGGACGGCGAATTGGGCATCCCACGAGTTTGAGCGAACTAGAAGAAAGGTTACAACAAATATGGAACGAAATGTCTCAGGACATTATACAGAACTTGTATGCCTCAATGCCCGATCGTATCGCATCGTGCATTCGCGCTAGAGGGGGTGCAACGGGGTATTAACTCCTCCGTTCTTTTGCCTTTTCCTCCGAAATGAATTATCCTTTTAATTAATAAACATTGCATTTCATAATTAAAAAATAGTTTAGTAATCGACTGACAACGAAAAATTATGAATGAATATTTTAGCTTACGTTTGCGAAAGTTAAATTCTTTGTAAGTTAAACACATTGGGTATTTATTTCTTTAAAAATAATTAATTTAAATTTTCCTCGGTTCCCCATCAAAAATAGTTTAAACTTCAGATTTCTTAACAGAAAAATACGTATATTAATATTGTATTAAAAAAATTATGCCTCATATTCAAAACTTTTATTGCTAATTAATTAGCATATCTGTTACTAATTTGTCAGCAGATATTTGAGGTCACACATCCTACTGGAACAGTTAAAATTTCTAAATACGATTATTATCACCAAAGGTATTCAAGGTGATATCTTTTTTAGCGTCTAGTACGTTAAGTTTGAATGTATGCAAAGGTAACTAAAGGTTAAACGAGATTATTGAAAAGTTTTGCTTCTTTCAACTGTTTTTTTTTTCTTTTTTTCGATTTTTACACATATTTATTTCTTTTTCTTAAAAAATTGCAGATTTTTGAACAAATGACTTTGAGAATACTCGAAAAGCAAGAATTGATACCATTTATTCCTCCTGTTAAAATTGAAATAGAAGGAAAGTCTCCGGAATGGAAGCAAAACAAGTACGTGCCTGCTACGCGCACTAACGAGGAAGAAATACTCAATGGATCTGCTAATAAAACAGAAATTCTTCCCCAAAAAGATGCAAGTTATCCAGAAGATAGCGATTCGGAGTCTAGAGCTGAAGTAGAGAACATGATTGTGATAAAAGAAGATATTATTGGTACTCAATCAAGCAGCAAATTAAAACCTTTAGAGCTAAACGAAAATTACCATCCTCCGAATGATAAAAAAGATGTGATTCCGAAAGTAGAAAATTATATGCTTTCAGAAGAAGAGATGCTACTGGAAGGAAAATGTCCAGCGTGGTTTGCTTGAAAAAAAAAGAACTGTTATTTGGCTCCCTTTAAGTTATGATGGTTAAAGATAAGCTTGTTTTTCCCTCATAGTTTTAAAATTTTATCTGACAATTTTTTATTGTTATTTTGTTTTTGCAAATTCTACTTATAATGGATGCTACAAGACGTAACAGGCTGTACTTGTTGGTACTATGAAACACAGGCGATGATAGCTTTCTCTATCAGAGATTCAATTGAAGACGCGGTATGAAATGTGCAGATTGTAACTTCATTTTCAGATTAAGCAAACCATTGTATTGTTTGGAATCAAATTTTAAAGTAAATTTTCTTAATTGTTTTTGAAATATAATTATTAAAAAAAAATTCGTTCACAGCAGTGACTTTTTTTTAATTTGTTCTTTAAATTTTTCTTTACTTCGGAACTAATCATTTTTTACAAGTAGGTATTTTATCTTAGCTTAAATAAAAAAATTACTTAAATTAGGGTTGTTCAGAAAGTATTTCGTTTTTCCGACAGAGGATTTAATTGTATTTTTTCGAACCCAACTTCACACTTAAGCCGCATTATCATTATATGTTTTGAGAGCTGATATAGCAAGGCTTGTGTGTGAAAAAGTTCAATTAATTATACGCAGTAGTTTTTGGTTGGTGCCCTTTTAAATATGGTGAGCAATAAACAGCATTTTCGTCAAATTTTACTTTTTTACTATAAAAAAAGATAAAAATGCTGCTTCTGCCAGAAAGAAATTTACCGATGTGTATGAATAAGATGTGTTGACAGTACGCCAGTGCCAGAATTGGTTTGCAAAATTTCGATCCGGCAATTTTGATGTCGAAGATGCACCACGTTCTGAAAGGCCCGCTGAAGCTGATAAAGACACGATAAAGGCATTAGTTGATGCAAATTGGCGAATGACCACACGTGAGATCGGTGAGAGGTTAAATTTATCGAATTCAACTGACCACTTAAAAGGCCTGAGTCTAACCTCGAAGCTCGATATATGGGTTCCCTTGTTCTCACGGAGAGAAATTTATGTCGTCGCGTTGACGTCTGTGAGTCGCTTCTCAAACGTCACGAAAATGATTCATTTTTGAAGAGTATCATTACTGGGGACGGAAAATGAATTGTCTAGAACAATGCCAAACGCAAGAGATCATGGAGCTAAAACGATGAACCGGCTCAAAGCATTTCGAAAACCAATATCCACCAAAAAAAGGTGATGCTCTCTGCTTGATTGGATTTTAAACGAATAGTTTTCTTCTTTAGCTTTTACCGGATAACATAACACTTAATTCGGAAGTCTACTGTCGTCAGCTAGACAAACTGAATGATGATCTTCAACAGAAAAGGCCAGAATTAATCAACAGAAAAGGTATAGTGTTCCACCAAGATAGTGCGAGAACTCATACAAGTTTGGTCACTCGCCAAAAGCTTTTACAGCTTGAATGAGATACACTACCACACTCACCATATTCTCCAGATCTGGAGCCTTCGGGTTATTACTTGTTCCGGTCACTACAAAATGTTTTGGACAGTAAAACCTTTACTTCAAATGAAGAGGTCAAAAATCACCTGGATCAGTTTTTTGCCAGCGAAGACCAAAAATTTTAAGAGCGTGGAATCATGCTACTACCAGAAAGATGACAAAAGGTGTTGGACCATAATGGTTAAAAAAATAATTCAATAAATTATTTATTCATTATGCGAAAATTGTCTTTCATTTTCCTCCCAAAAAACGAAATTACTTTCCGAACAACCCAATAAAAATCGCCTTGTGCCGATGACTCCGTTTGGGTTTTTTGGTGCTGCAGCGGCGACTGGCGTCGTCGTTGCACAATTAACAAAAGGGCCGAATTTATCGGGGCGTGTCTTGAAAAAGAAATATACTACTTCAACTTCTAGATGCGAAGCCTGTTCTCTTTTTTATATATATACGATCATCGTTCTATTTTTTTTATTTTATAGTATACTGAATAAACAGTTAGTTTAACTTTAAGATGCTAAATTCAGTTAACACTTGCATAACTCAATAATCTCTACAAGATAATCTACGCATATTAAAATAAAAGAAATAAGCTATGTACTAGAAAGAAAAAGAAATGGAGTAAAGGTATTTATTTGTCTAGAAGAACCGTGAGAAGTCGTGTTACTATCATTGACGACAATCATGCTTAATTAATGTTGGTAATTAATTGAAATATAAAAAGTAACTTCTGTACGAAAAAGCAAAAATAAAGAGAAAAGCGCTTTGGGTACCAGTAAAAAATTTGCATATTATTAATGACACCAATGCTCGATTAATATTGATAATGTGTATTAATTGAAATAATATAAAATGAGCTATGTGCTAAAAAGCCAAGCCCATGGAAGAAAGATGCATGGGAAATTCGCTTGAAAACATTAAAATATCGCCATTCACAGGTGACGCTAAATTCATATGTATCCCTGACGGTAATATGTACTACTGGTATTATGGTAATTGGCGATTTGGTTTTGATAAGAATTCTAAAACGAGTTTTCCGTAGTTTCAGAATATATTTTTTTACAGTGGTAGCTAAGATAGTGTAATAATATTTTAATGAATTAGAATTAAAATAACTTTTTTCCATCGCTACTTTTAATTACTTTAACAGTAAATTAAGGGTCAGATAGAGAAATGATCATGCTCCAAAATCCTTATAAAGTTCTATTTTTTTCTTCCTTTTTTTTAATTAATACGGTTTTAGTTGGCGGACACGGACAAATACGTATAAACTCAAATGTTGAAGGGTTAAAATGCGCCTAACTATCCAAGTAGAATTTCTCCTCAGGAGAAATTGTGAATTGAATTCTATGCAGGGCGATCCCACAAAAAAATTGCAGAAGGAACTGTCAACTGTTACAATATTAAATTAACAACATGATCACCACTTGGATAAATCAAAGAGTTCATGTTAAGTCTATGAGGGTGGGATATGGCAGTTGATGAACACACAAGCAGTATCCATGTGAATGGTACTAAAACTCCACATGTATACTGTTTGTGAGGACTGTCTTTTAAGTAAAGTTTTTTTGTTTCATTAAAGCAGATATATTTCAGAATAACATATTACTTATATAATTAAAAAAACTTATCAAAAAATTATTAATCTTTTTTTAAAATGCAACTGTAATTATTATAAGGAATACATATGATTCTTTTCGTGTGCTATGGAAACGTTCGATTTCATGGTTATGTTGACTTTTCCGTCCCCCACAAAACACCAATATGGGATACACACATAAATCTAAAAAAAAGAAAAAAAGTGCATAGAAAAATAAGTATCTAAAGCAAAGCATTTTTGAGCATTTAAGTATTTTTTTTTAAATTTATATTTAGTAAAAAAAATATTTATATATACTTTTTAAATATAATATTTTGTTTCGTTAAAATTTGTTTTGCTTAGTTAAAAAATATTAATTTGAAAATCTGTTTTTTTAAAAATCTTAATAAGAAACCAGCTTATTTCTAAATGCTTTAAAAAAAATCTTGTTCTTGTTGGTATTTTGGTATTGTGTGCGCTTAAAGTAGATGTATCTCCTTATTTACTGAAAAAAGAGCTCATATGGATTTTAAAATAATTAATTATTCATGCAACGAATATAGTTCTCTAGAAGAAATTTGGAACTATCTCTTTCAGAGTAGACACAAAATTTTTAAAGATGATATGAAAGAAATGAACTGTAATTAATGTGAATGAATAAGAAAAATTTTCCTACTTTCAAAAGAAATAGACAACTTCGAATGTAACGTGCATGAGATGATAGCAAGCTTCAACAACAAAATCGTCCAGCAGTCAAGAGTTAAGAAATAAGTTATCGGTCATAGTTACAGCTAGTGTCCCTCACAGTACGAAATTTTAGTGCAATCAATTGCACCATGAAGGTATTTCTCAATCATATTTATCAATTTATGGTGCAACCTTAATACAACAATTTTTCATTTAACCAAACAAGGGTACAATTAGAAACTTTGCACCAAGTATCGATTAAACACTTACCGAGGTTTTTTTAGTATGTGCTGGTGATCAAACTCATTTATATTTATTATTATAATTCAAGGAATGTAATAGAATAATATGAGTTTTGATACCACTTTAAATATAATGAAAGTAAAACTTTCCGGGAAAACCGGAAGAGTTGGCAATGCTTAATCAATGCGAAAATTCCGTTTTTCAAACCGCTCTCTCGAACTAACTAATAGAACATTTTGGACGAATTTTAGGATTGAGAGCTAAAATTGTCCTTCGTAGCCGCTGTCCGAGCTTCAGAATGACAGAATGGTCCTAGATTTATTAGAAAGAGACACACACGCAAACATACTAACTCTTCCATTTTATTGCTACAGATTACTTCTGCTACCACTAGAAAAACCATTTTCTGAAACTATGGAAATTCCATAGTAGTTGAAGAGTATGTCTATAGCCATGGGTAGACAAGCAAGTTTAAATTTAATGTTTAGGAGCTATTTCTGTCAACATCTAACAACGACAACATTTCACTGACTCAGTTCATTTTCGTTACCCTGGGGCACTGACACATCTTTTTCTCTATCCTAGAAAGAATTTCCCAAGAGGTAGTGAAATCAAATTCAATTCAAGGCGAACATGTTTTAAAATTTTGCCAGTTCTTGAATACTTATCGCAGAGATGCCAACTGACCCGTTTTCTACTAATGTTTTAATAAGTTGGTAGAGAATTAAGTAGTAAAACTTGCAGAATAATGATAATTACGTCTACTTTTTAGAAGTATACTACCACGAGATAACTGTAATGAATTTACATTTCATATGATATTTTGAATTCTTGATATGTAGTGGCCGCAAAATTACTTAAAATGAAAAATACTCAATTACTAACTTTAATTTCGTTACCACTGGATAATATTTTTTTTTTAACGAAGTATGTCTATAACTGTTCGGTAAGTTAGCATCTCTGCCAAGCATTTATACAGTAGGCTTAATTTATTCTTATGTAGGGGTGATTAAAATTACTCTTGATTAAATTTATGTATCCCAGAATGAAATAGTTGCCCATAAGTTTTACAATCACTTTTAGCTTTTTCGAAACGGGTAAGTCATATATGTATTCTCAGGGTGGTGACAATCAGGGTAAAAAAGATAAAACTGGTAGCCAAATTATTTTGCAGTTTATTTGTGGGCTGGTTAGATTTGTGGGCTAATAGTTAGATTTGTTTAATTACTAATGTTGTTGCTGTTGCAAGCCATTAAGGCACTGGAGATATGATTGTTCTTGTTTTCCAGTGGCTCCAACTCTGTCCAAGAATTCGACTTCTGCCACACCCATACGTCACACCCCATTACCACATCACTATAGGGTGGACGCATTCATA